TATATATATATATATATATATATATATTTAAAACTTGATTAAAACATTGGAATTGTTAAGCTGTTGCAAGTGAATTCAGCAGACTTTGAGGTTGTGTAACCTTCGAACTATGCGCCGCTAGCAGAAAAAATTGGCCTCTAAAAATACGCTTTTTTGAAACATCTACGAATAGGAACCGGTTAACTGCAAAAAAAAAATTAATCCAAAAATATATCTTTTAGTCTCGAAAGTCAACGCTTATTAGAAAAGTTTTTCTTCCCCAAAGGCTACAGCGTGGCGGGAATTCATTGAAGTTGAATGAAAACATTAGTCAAGGAGGCCTTAAGCCGGAGCACAATGCGCTAATGGTGCAAATATTTGAAGAACATGAGACTGCACTGTTGAAGACCAGCAAGAAGGTGACTAGACGTCACGACCCGAATGACAAGAACGTATTGCGGCAATCTTGGAAGCTTTTCAGGGAGCAGAGCCTAAGCTCTGTCAGCCAAAACTGGCATTTCCCATGTGTTGGAAAATTATAATCCAAATACTGAAAACGCATCCTGGAGAAAAACCGAGTTTGATAACAGTGTCGAGTAGGTTCGAATGTAAAGTGATGGTAGCACCTGTAATGGACATCTGCTGCAGATATTCGTCGAGTATAAAACCATTAATGCAGCCCGCTATCTGTGTTCCTTAAGAGGTTCATGAAGCGTTGGCAAAGCAATCGAAAGTATGCAGTCTGGTGACTCGATGATAACGCCATATTTTATCGTTATGCCTCATTTAGTTCTTATACTAGCAAAGGAACATCCAACAATTCACTTATTCTCACGATCTAAATCCGTGCGATTACGAGACTTTCCATGCCGTAAAAAAAGTCCTCCGAATTAGCTTGTAACAGCCTAATGCTCGGATGCAACTGCGACTTTTAGGTAGCTAGATATTATAGATAATTGTGCAAAAGGATATCGCCAACCTATAGTTCTTTCCCTGCAGTATAGGGTAGACTGCTAAATTCATCGAACCACGAGCAGGGCTTCATATTACGCACTTGCAACAACAAATCTAAAGAAGCGCGAACTATTTCTATTAAAGATCATTGGTGAAAATATTTGCAGTTCCACAGTAACCACAGGGTGGTTAGGGAAAGTTTAAGACAATTTTTTACAATCTGTAAAATATGTCTCGTCTATAGGGTATTTTGTTTTTATCCTAATAACTTTTACTGATTTAAATTATAACATGAATAAATAGGATGTGATTCATTACTTCGTCTTAAAAACGATATTAGTGGTCATTAGAATAATAATTTACTTTATTAACTTGGACCCTAGCCACTGCTAGCAAGCTAAGAGCAACATACTGTAGATTTAGGTGGGTGGTTGGTTTTAATCTTTTACACAACAACATCAGTAAACTATTATTAAAAACTAATAAAATGTTTAAAGATTAGGTATAAATAAAACAATGAACAAAATTACTTTCTAATGTATTTTATTCAATTGTGCACTCCTGCTTACTGTTGCATTGAGCTTCATCGTTATATATTCTCCTGGCCATTATTTGTTTGGTTTTCTTTATTTAGCCTGATTTCACTCACCCCTTATTACCGCTAATATTTACCCTTCGTCCTTTGGCATTGATCTATTTTAACACTGATGCTACGAGATTATAGCTTCTTAACAGATTCTACCCTTTCAATGACACGGATATTGCAATATGATTCAGCAGTATGGTTTTTTGCCAATAGGCCAGTACTGGGGTACCATCTACCCGATGGGGCAGTTCATGCACAATATGCTAATTCGGTAAGCTAAAAAATTTATACTTGATCCTGTTAATACTTGTGTCTAGTCGTTTTACAAATCGTGACCAGATGTGGCCTTTGAATCAAAAACAGAAGGCTACCAGGTTTAAAACTGGAGAAGCACTTGAAGCCCACGCACACTTTTAATCTGTCACAGCTGCTACTATAATAATGCCGGCTATGATAGATTCTCGACAAGATAATTGAAAATGCATTCCATATTTCTATTGAGGACAGCCGGAGGCGTTAGACTTTTAGGACTTACTTTCAATGGTTTCAATTGACAAAGAAGTCGCGTAACTAAGCGCCCTAATTGATTTCGAAATCTCGCGCTCTACAGGAACTTACTGCTTCACAAATTTAGAGCGTATCAGATATATGAAAGACATATTGGTTTGCAGAAAAAATCTACCTCGAAAGCTAAAAATGCACCTCTGCCATTTTGTTGATATAACACAAGCCAGGACAACTTTGAAAGTACCCAACCTCAATTTAAGAGATTCATTGATTTCGGTATGCAGTAATATATATCTTTGAAACAAGGATGAACCAGTGTTTTTGTCAAGTTAAAGAGTGTTTTCTGTTGGAAATGAGCTTAGCAGATGTCAAGACTTGTGTCTCTTTAATGAGTGTGCTTAGATTGATTAGATATAGAAAAAATAAGAGTTGTAGGCACAATATACAAAGTAGTAGAGAAAATTTTAAACAAGTCAAACGTATTAGCATTTACTTCATGTATCAAATATTTTTATTTAGAACTATTCTAGATATTTGCACGACCCGTGATATAATTGTATATAGTATCTGTAGCGTCGTGGTCGAAATCAGAGCATCCAATATAAGCGTTCTTGAACAACACCGGGAATAGCACTACTTTTTCTACCAGGTCACCTTTTTCATTTTCATTCGTCGATTCTGGAACCAGATTTTTATTTGTCTCTCGGTTAGGCAGAGCGCATGAGCCATTTCGATCCGTCTTCTTCGCGTCAGATAATGGTTCGTGTGGAATTCCTTTTCCAGCTCCAATGTCTGGTATCGCGTATATGTTTGCCGACCGCGCCTTCGCAATCCAGATGTCCCTACAATCACAAACGATAGCATGAACGTAACAATTGTTTACAATAAACAAAGAATTTTGATTGAACTGCCCCCATGGACTTCGAGTCAATTCTATGGAGATATATTAGTACACGTAGCTGTGAGCGTAGCGTTTAATGAGCGTTAACTTTATACGCATTTGAGTGCTTATAGTAAAAATGAGAATTTGTCTATCGGCTAGGTTATAGTTGAGATTTCATACAGACTGATATGCAGTTTGACTGGGCAAACGAAAGTAGTTAGTTGCTTTCTTTTTGTGGCATCTACTAATATGCTCTCACACCGTAAAGAAAAAAAGAAATTCCGTAGGTAGTAGCTTGTAAGCACGTTAAAAGGTAGGGAAACACTCTCAAGTTTTCATAATACGCCCATAAAATGCAACGAAATGTGCTAGCTTCATTCTGTCTATGTATATTGAGTCCAGCAGTGGTTAATGGACTTCCAAGAATGATAGATTAATAAATTCCAACATAGTTCAGGTTGAAAACACCATAAGAGATTCGGACATAACGTGTTTCCCACGTCGAACATACAACTGATCAACCGTTTTATCTCAGATACATCTAGTGCTAGAGATCCAAATCTATGTGTGAGATTTTAGTATATATGCGGCATATAGAATCTATAATGACGTTCAAAATATTTCTAACGGAATTTCGAAAAGTTTTCTTGGGCAACTTCCATGGTGCTATGACAAGCCAGCTCGAAAATTCTATATACTACTTGGCCAAGAAAAGCATCCATAAAATGCCTAGCTTTTCTTGACTAGAAACAGGTAATGGGCTTGTGGCGCCAGGCCTGCTTGCTTGCCGGCCGGCCTGCCGGCCTGCCTGCTAGTTACAAGTAAAATCTCGGGCAATATGTACTATTACATGTTTGAAACACTTTGAAGAAGGTGAGCTGCGCAAAACGAGGATCGCGTGCCACGAACGTACATCAGTTCCTGGGTGGACAATTGTCAAGTGCTGGCAACTGTTGCAGAACGTTTTTACTAAGCAGGTTCTAAGCCAATGTTGAATCTACTAGTGGTACCAAAGATTGAGTGGGATGACGGGAAAACCTTAGAGACAATTGTTTTTTTTGGGGGGTTCGCTACAGCGAGTGCGAATAAAAGGTGGAAAAAGCAAGGTTGTTCACAGTAAAGGATATCCGAAACACTTTCAGTAAATTTGCAGAAAGGTTTCGCGCGTAACACGAATTTTGCAATTGCAGTCCTTGAAGATCATTCGTAGATGGGAATACATTTAGCAAGGATTGTACTGCGGGACCTGAGTTTCGATCAACAGTGTATTGGGAAGATATTAGTATCCAAGGAAAAACGCGATTTGTCTTGACGGGCTAATCAGATGCCACAAGGCTGTTGTACGAGTATGAGATGGGACCCAAGAGCGCAATCGCCTAAGCATTGCCTCGAAGGCGAGTCCATGCAAAAAAAGCCGCGAATGCCAAATTCCTCTTAACGCAATAGGGAATAAATCTGTTAACAAAACTCCAACAAATTGACCATCGATGAGGTTTAAAGAAGACGAAAGCAGGGCCAAGGAATAGGTAGCTGACATGCATCAAATCTGGCAAGAATTACTTTGAAGAGAATAACTGAAACTTGTTGAACGATTGAAATGTTTACGATTGGCATAAAGTTGGACTTTCAAAATTTTCTTTTATTAAGTAGTATTCTCTAATGCTTAAGTACCTTATAGCGAAAGGATTCTGGAGCCATGTCCACAGCGGCGCTTGAACCGTTACGGCTTTGCCACTGAAACGGCGAAGCGATAACGTCGTCGCTGGCTGGTGAGGAAACTTGAATTCGCAAGCACTCAAAAGTGTTGGAGGGCGTTTGCTCATGGCGTGGGTTATTGAACGGCTGGAATATGAACACATATGCCAGGTTTTGTCCTTATGCAGACGTAACAAGAAGTGTCATAAAATCGTTTAACGTTATTGGACCTATTAGTCATCTGAGTTGATTCTAAACCATAGAAGACCCTTGTATCAATGCAGTCACAGCTACACGTTGTCGTTCCCCAAGACCCTCGGTACATTGTGCACCTAGTTCTTTGGGTGATTTTTCTTCTTACACTGCAGTGCAAACTCTTAAGGAGAGGCATATACGAAGCGCTTAAATTCCCTGCCTTTACGGTATATTGTACCGTGTGACAGAAGGTGAGCCGCCCAGATTTTTTCTTTTAGCGGAAGTTAGGTAACGGCGAGCTGCCTCGTTAATCGTCTCTGCGCTTGGCGTTCAGCGACAAACCATTTAAAATTGATTTTCATCTTTTGTCTAGCGCCCATTATGATTCGTGACTATGATTTTCCTTTATTAATAATTTCGAAACCTGTATATTGATATTTAATAATTCAATAGTTTTCTTCCTGTGTAGGCAATCGAAATTCTCAGAATAATTTTTTATATCTTAAAGCATGACTTTTTCCAAATGTGGTTTTCCGTTATAATTTCTTTTCTGGTGTGATCGAGCGAACGTTTTAAGTGCAATCAGAATCGATGAAGCTGCTTTTGAAACGGGACGGATGTATACAATAGATAAAACTATTCGGCCAGTGCTTTTTAGAAGGTGTCGCATTCTATTGTTGGCAATTGAGACAATCGTTGATCTTGCGATGTCTCACTAGGGCCTGCTTCGTTTGTTGTGTTTTAGAATACATCTTTCAAAATCTACTTTAAGCGGGCAATCTTTAGTCACTTTTACAAAATGGCAAGATTCCCAATCGCAAAGGCCACTGCACAGAGCACTAGTGAACGATCTTCAGTATTATGGGATTTCCAATTACTTAGACTAAATACTCAAGACCTGTACCAAAAACACAGACAGGGAAATTTTCGAATGCTCGGCCCTGGAATATTAGAGATGTTTTCAACCGCAGTTGTTAGTCTTTTATGTTTCAGAGTTCACTGTTTGGGCAGTGAGCTGGTATTCTTAACTATTCTTTGTGCTTCCAACCTGTAAAAGTCTACATTTGCGTGTGAACAGATTGAACCTAATTAGGTTAGGCTGAATGACCTTAAAGTCTACATAGACAAGCTCGGCGGTACCCCGCTGCTAACGATCGGCGTCGAGCTCGTGTTCAACGATTTATGGTTTCACGTTATCCTTACTGTGCCCATTTAAACAATAATTAGTGCCAATGGGTGATGGAATTGATATTTATAACAATACGCAAAATGTCTATACTTGCATAACAAAACGGCAAAAAACGGTATTGATGATCATGTTGTCGCAACTGCTTTCATGAGTCAGGATGAAACTATCACAAACATTTTATTATGTGTACGTTAATCCTGACCGAAAAAGAAAGGGTGACAGCAATTATTGATACTAAGTGGTTGAGCGCCTTTAGTTCTTGAAGAGTTCGCTTTGAAGACGACCTTAGCTTTAGCGAATGCCTTACCAACGGTACACAAGTAATGGTTTTTACCGAAAAAATGTCTTATTAATGGTATGTGGTAATACAGAGAAACTATAATTTGCCATTTACGTACGTCTCCTATTTGGCCTCAAAGCAAATACACACCTCATACTGCTGTGGGTTAAACTGATGATCAATTATGCCAATATATCGTGGAAATTCACCAGGTCGCTGTTGTGCCTCCTTTGCCTTGACTATTTACAAAAATTAGAAACAAATGTGCAATTGGGTTGAAGTATACCTATATAAATCCATTTTCGTGAATGGTCAGTTATACGCTATTCTTTCGTACGGCTCCCTTGCAAAAAACCTATTAGAGATATCGGTAATCCGAGAAGATTAAATGTCTGCTTCCTTAGGGAGCTCATTGGCAGTAGTAATATGTTAGGAATTTTAACGCCTTCAAAACAGAGGAAGTCTGTTCTTTTCGATCCTTAACAAGAAGTGTCGGCCACTGGGGGATATTTACAACTAGATAACAGCCTCGCTTACGACTTTAAAAGGCAATGGATCCTAGCTACCAGAAAAACGCGAACACTTTAGACTTTCACGACAAAAAAAAATGTTTCTACTTTGACAGTTTTTGTCGTTCTAACTTTTTAGGAATAAAAAAGAGTGTACCAGAAGCGGAGTGAATCTTTATTAAAAAAAATTTTTTCTTCAGAAAATTTGGTGGCAGTTACGATCGCCTTCGTGTGTAGGTGCCAAAACTTTTCGACTAAATGTGGCTACCTTCTATATATTGGAATATAGATTTCTGGTAAAAAGCATTCTAGAACAAAACGTAGCTTTATCTCAATAAGAAACCTAGAAATTTTGGAACAATAAAACATTGTTTGAGACTTTTTCACACGGTTCGATGTGTATAATGTAGATGATAGTCCCTTTTTAACCACAGCACAACGATGATGACGATGATTAGCAGAGCTTTTTTAAAGTTCACGAGCGTTATTTTTGCATTTTTTGGCGACTTAAACATGCAGCGCAAAAAAATTGTTGACCGTTCAGATGGAACTCGTATCGTATGTTATATATTTGTTTATGTATTTTTTCAGTCAAAAGTATTGTTTCTCTTTTGATTAAAAACGGCTTACTCATAGGTCGATTTCTGGAAAGGAAAATCAATCCATGACAGATTCAGCGCATTGAAATAAGCGTGCGTTTATGTGTTCTTGCTTAATAGTTGAAAGCTGATGTTCATTGGATAGCAATTAAAGATTGCTTTTACTGCAGAAGAAGGGTTGCGACTGCAGAAAGCTTGTTTTTTTTTATCACATTAGTTCATTTAGCAAGCAATCGTAATCGCTTTCTCCTCTTTTATATTCCTAAATCTATTTAGTTCTCTAGCAGCGTCTTGTGTTGCTAACTCTGCAATTGTTTGCGGCTCGACTACCCATGCTAACCTCGGCTGCTGATGGGGCCTGGATGTAGAACGCTAACTGGTCCCCACTTTTGTTGTCTTCCTCGCAGCTACCTCAAGAGGATCCTCTCGCTTCGAACACCTTGCATCGCTGTCGTGATGCACAAACAGCAACATCACGGCAACGCGGCTTCC